GCAGAACACTTTAGGGATCAGTTCAACTGGCCTTCAGCCACAATTCGGTTGCCCACGATCTCCAGTCAACTTGAATGGCAAGTTAATGTAGGTCCTCCGACGCTTTAGGGAGAGCAGCAGGCCCTGACAGGTTTACTCCTGAGATTTTTAAGGATGGTGGTCCAGTATTAGCAGTGAGATTAACTGAGGTCTTAGGTAGAATTTGGGAACTGGACGTAATCCCATCTGACTGGTCTCAATCACTGATTGTGCCAGTCTATAAGAAAGGACAAAAGTCCTCTTGTGACAATCACAGAGGAATCAGTTTGACTAATATAGTGTCTAAAATATTAGCTTCAATAATACTTCGACGCCTAACAAAGCTCGTGAAGAGCAGACTAGAGAAAACCAGGCTGGTTTTCGACCTGGACGTGGTTGTATAGATCAGATATTCACACTACGTCAGGTTCTAGAACACAGACACACATTCAGACGCCCCACAATGGTAGTATTTCTCGACCTTAAGGCGGCATTCGACTCGTTGATCGTGAGGTTCTATGGCAGTGTTTGTCACTGAAAGGAGTACCAAAGAAGTACATTAACCTTATAAAGGCTCTCTACTCGAACACAACTGGTAGAGTGAGAGCTTATGGCGAACTGTCATCAGAATTGATTACCTCAAGTGGTGTTCGTCAGGGCTGTCCACTCTCCCATTCTTGTTCAACTTTGTCATTGACGTACTTTTAGAGATAACACTCTCCTCATCTAAATTTACAGGGGTTGAACTTCTACCGGGAGGTTCACTTGTTGACTTAGAATATGCTGATGACATAGTTTTATTTGGTGAAGACGCTGACAAAATGCAGAGTCTTCTGACCACTCTAAGCAACAATGCAAGCATGTTCGGGATGCGATTCTCTCCCTCGAAATGCAAAATGTTGCTTCAGGATTGGGTTACATCGACACCCGAACTAGTGATAGGGAGTGAAGTAGTTGAGTGTGTCGACCGCTTCACTTATCTTGGAAGTCTCATCAGCCCTTGTGGTCTGGTGTGACGAAATCTCAGCACGGATACAGAAGGCTCGACTAGCTTTTGCCAACTTGCGTCATTTATGGCGTAGGCGAGATATCCGTCTATCAACCAAAGGACGTGTTTACTGCGCAGCAGTTCGTTCCGTCCTACTTTATGGCAGTGAAACATGGCCGGTAAGAGTAGAGGATATTCGTAGGTTACTAGTATTTGATCATAGGTGTCTTCGAAACATTGCTCGTATATCATGGGACCATCGAGTAAGTAACACAGTTGTTAGGAAACGGGTACTAGGTAAGGATGGCAAATCAATTGATGAAGTAGTGAAACTTCATCAGTTGAGATGGCTGGGACACGTGTTACGTATGCCCAACGACCGACTGCCTCGACGTGCGATGTTCAGTGGTATAGGAGTAGGTTGGAAGAAAGCTAGGGGCGGCCAAACCAAAACATGGCACAAGTCCATGAAGTCACTGACAAGTGGACTGAGTCATGTTGGTAGGTGTAGACTACCTGGTTGGGGACCGCGAGATGATAGCAACCGATGGTTAGAGACCCTGAATGACATGGCTCAAAATCGTTTGCAATGGCGCAGGTGCATCCACTCTTTGTGTTCTCCCAAATTTTGATCTCCTTATTCCTCCTTGTCTCTCTTTTTTTCTCTTCCCAAATTTATTTCACTGAATTATACTCTTTAAATAACATCTCCAAACCCTAATCTTCCCGATTACTGCTTATACTCTTGCTACCTCTACCACTACGGGATTTGAATCGACAACTGCATCTCTGTGCTAATGTGGTGTGGCAACTCGAACTGATGTACGTACGTACGAAGTTCTACGTTGTTACTGACTGACTGACTGACTGACTGACTGATTTGGCTTTGTTTAATACATTTAACTGTATCCTGATTGACCAATATTTTTCAAGGTCATTAAGGATTAGTTCATAAATCAAAGTCTCACAGCCAGTCCTGTACAGCTATCTTTCACACCAGGACGATGTGTCATGCACTGACCACCTTTCCGGTTTTCCACTGGTTCAAGTGTAGGCAAGTAATGCACGATGTGGAATTCGCTAAGACAACATTCGTAAGACGTGTTCAAGCCGTCGAAGTCGATGTTTCAAGATGATGACATCATTTGAATTATCATCTCTGTGCCCGGATGCCCGATGCCAAACCTCTGCATTATTAACATGGAGTTGCCGCCGGATGTCAGCGATCCTTCGGAGACAACGATGATCGAACACAGAGTTGTCTAACGTCCTCAACTCGGAGACGCTAGCCTTCATAGTCATAGAGCAGAACTGCTCTCACCGACGCGTTGTAAGTCCGACCTTTTACAGCCAGACTAATATCACGAAGGCGCCAATGATGGCCCAGATTGGCATAAGCCGCTCTGGCTTTCACTATATGTGCATTGATCTCATCACTTACGCCATCACCAGCTCTTATGCAGCTACCTAGATACGCGAACCTCTCGACTACTTCTATCCGCCCACTACCAAGGGAGAGTGCAGGTTTAGCGTGTTGTAAGTCTTATGAGGGTACTTTGCGCTTAGAAGATGCAGAACACACGATATACGTACGTATAGTGATTGTCAATGGATCAAATGCGGATTGCATTGCTTGGGTATCGTCGCACAGCAAGATAGTATAATCTAAAATTCTTCCTATAGGCATTAGATCCACACCATCATTGCCTACATCCATCAAAACTGTTTCTAGAACGTGATCCATAGCAATGTCGAGGGGTATGGTGAGATTGTAGTCGGTGGAAGCATTCAACTTTCGACCTGTCAGTGACTCGAGATTGTTTAAATAGGATAGGTCATTTTGTCGCATTGCTTTAATAATCATTGGTCAGTTTCTTCATCCAGAAATAGCTAGAACACTTTATCAAACCTTAACAAACTAACAAGACCGAAAGTCTCTGGGAAAACTACGCGGTTTTCTAACTCTTTTCACTACTTCTCACAATCCGTGCTCTACAGCCGAAATGTTTTATTTGATTTATTGGTATAACCGGTTCACTGATTCTTATCAAGGTCGAGGACAACGAAGGCCCATCGATTTATTGCACGCCATAGACTGGCCCATGCATCAGTGATAGCACTCTGTACCTTGTATATAACCTTATTAAAATATTTCTGTAAAAACGTCGTTTGTGTTGCAGGTTTATTAAAACAGAATTAGTGTCTGGATACAAAGAAAGGGTGATCCACGTTAGGTACTAGCCGTGAGTCGTGAGTACGACGTTTACAGGTTGGTCACACCATTCTCGTCTAACTCAAGTAAGCTCCTAGTCATTCGACACATCATCTACGCCGGTGATATGCATATCTATGTTTGTTATGCAACTCCCCAGTACACGTCTTGAAGTAGTGAGCTATCTGAACAAATTCCGCTAACAGTAAGCATACTGAGCTTCAACTCTTAGGTGAAATCATTCGGGACTCTTCATAGTTCCACAAAGTAAGGAGAGAACCGTAGCTGCAAGCAACTCCCTACTACAATTAGGGTTGAAAATGTAAGGCTAAAATGGTGTGGATCAATAACTGAATGTTGGCCATAAAGTACCGACACAAACCCACATGAAGGGTTCATGCACTCGTAAATACCCAACGCATAATTCTGGGACTTTTGTAACCTCACCTACACTGAAATATACATTTCTTCTAACGTTAATTTGTGTTTCTGAGAGGAATTGCTGAAAGACACATTTAAGAACCACAATTTTCCGCCTACGTTGTAATGATTCACCTTAAAATGTATCAACCATGGTTCGATACACTGGGAACACAGAATATCGTAAAATTAGAAATATTTTCTTTAATTTGAAGTGGTCTAACGATTTGCTAGTTTCCCTAAGTGGTCTGGAACTAAGATAGGACGCAGGCAAGAAGTCAAATTTTATTGCATCATGAAGACAGACCGAAACAGTCCATAAAGCATTTATTTTTCTGTTAAATGTATTTTTCGGTAATGCAATGAGAAGACGAAGTTTATCAGCTAAATGTATGCTAAATGTATTAACCACACTGGGCAAAGTTATATGTCTGCCTGTGATTATGAGGTATTTTCTCCAGACACACCTGAGAAATTCCACTTGCATATTTATTCTTTCAAATCCCACATTACTTTAAATTTTTGGTTGTTTCTTCGTGACGTTATTCAGTGGTAAATAAACAAAGTGATTCTTGAGTATTCACTGAGCCATCGATTTGAAATTTTCTTTAGTTACTGAGTAGTAAAGATGCCACATGTATTCAGAGTTTTACAAGTCCTTTACTCGTAACACCGTTATGACTGAAGCAAGTCGACCCAATCAAATCAGAAGTCAGAAACGAAGCAGTTCAAAGATATTTTTGGAAGGTTATCAATGTATCCTGAAGCGTCTAGTCTAAGCTTGAAGATGGCACAGGCATTCAGTGTTTGACAACGCTTTTACCAGCAACACCTAATATAATTCGTACCCACCAAGAGAAATCAAAAGACAGAGTCGAGGAGATCGGAAGAGTGTATTTGGCGATTGCCAATATATCGGAATTCTCTGATCTAATCTGGCTAGCGATTGCGGTAGATGTTGAGCACAGCGTTACCACACGTGATGTGGTGCGGATGCATGACCAAGCGCCTTCAGCTAGATGAGTCCACTAAAACAGATGGTCAGCATCCAATGTCGAAAACTTACAGAGCTATTTATTTTGGGGACTTATTTACCGCTACAAGCTGTTTGACAATTACACGGGATGCGTTGCTAGGCTTACCTTCTCGTGATCTAGTGTGGATGAGTGACTGAGCACCTTCAGCTAGGTGTGTCTAATAAAACTATTGGGGTCAGCGTCAATGTCGGAGACATTCAGAACCATTTATTCTGGGGATCAATTTACCGCTACAATAATTCCTATTTCATGATGAAAAGCAAATGAAACTACATTACGAAATGTGTATTACGGTTTTTGTTTGTTTGCACCACTTTGAGTTCATCGTATGTACTTGATGTAACAGTCGCCTTTTCATATTTGGTGAGACTGTTTTCTGTCGCAAGTCATGATCATTTAGTATTTTTCAGCTATGTAAACGTTTTGTGCTCTTCCCATTTTGCAGTAGTTTGACTTTAAAAATGCGATTTCATAATATTAACTTTTATTTATGTATAATTCCATGTTATCTACATCATGTCAACAGTGAGTTGCCTTGTTGTCTTTGTTTATAGTTCACAAAAACACTTAGTTCACATTATTTCTTCATGATTCTGACTATTTAAAAATCCAGCGTCCGAAGAACCTCCTTATATGACTGTAGTTTAAGTTTTGATGTTTGTACCTACTAAACATTTCCAAGCTCAGCTCAGTATTTCAGATAATTAAATTTCATAAGCCTGTGCCGTACTATTATGTCATTCTGACTAAGATACAGCATGTTATTTGTTTATGACGCGTCGTTTAATGATCAGTTTTGACATAACTAGTATGTTGTGCCTGCTATACTTTGAGGTTTATTCTAGTAAAACATTTGTAGCAATAACAAGATTACTAAAAACAACAAGGATGTCTGAGTATTTTGTTGTACGATAGAAAAACTGTACTTCAAGTAATTGTGATTTATTCTTACCTTTCGGTTCAACACTTGTACTTCCCAAATGGTTTTGATGTCGATAAAAGAGAAGGAATTTATATTGAGTTGAGGATTACTTAGTTTAGTGTACATTATGACTTCGTCATATCTTAGGTTATCCGTCTCTTGTAAATGGTAGTGTTTTACAGGCTTAGTAACGATCTGATCACATGAGTGAATAATATTCACATTGGAAATATCCCAGTATAAAGTGGTGTTGGTAAATGACAAAACTATTGAACCAACGTTCGTGGTACTTTGATAACCGTATGTCAAAAAGCTAGCCAAAAATACTAATTTATCTCACTAATAGCTCGGAATTCACACTGTATTTTAGAGCAAAGTCATTTGTTCTGATCATACTGTAGAAACTGCAAAAATGATAATACTCAAGACTTCTTCATGTGTACTACACTTTAAAGTCTGGATGACCAACTTCTCTCTACCGTTTACTTAATGCTATTGATCCAATACATTTTTCGAAGTTGCTCGTAAATCTTAATTAGTCAAACAAGTAAGTATAAGCATTTATAAATCATTCAGTAGATTTAGTTTGTTGGGGCATCTGAAAGTGTAATCAGGTAATTTTTTAAGCTTAATATATTGTAAACACGTGAAATATTAGTTACTTTTGAGTTCATAGTATTGGTTATAAGTCAATGTTATTTGAATCAGCCTCCGATTTTGAATACCTTACGCACATATTTATTTTAGACCCCTGATTGACTTAGTTGCTGTCAGCTAGCGTAGAAGTACATTTTTTAAATCGTAACACTGGCTATGTAAATAAATGTCTCTGGACGTATATAAGCAATTGTTTTTCTTATTTTTATTACTTTTCTCAAAATCTTTATCCTGATACAGCCCGATATATTTCGTTCCATAATCTTTTTTTTGTTTTAAAATACATTAGAATTTTTAACCTGTTAATCTCATTTATGATATTACGACTCACCCGTTTCTATCTTAATATAAAACTTAACTTTTCGAGCAATAACTTATTTGTACAAGGTCCTAAATTGTTTATGACTGACCGATCGGTAATGTACCTGTCAGTTTATTTTTACTACGCTTCTTGGATTATTTAGTCTTAAATGTTCGTAAATGCATATAAATATTACTGTATATTAGAGTAAAGCCTGATGAGGATCTAATCGAAAACAACATTGTTCGCTTACATATGTTGTTCTAAAAATACTGCGTCTATGATGCTCTTTATATATCATCAGTTTGGGGAATTTCGTGCCGTAAAATATATCTTATGGATCTTAGACCCTAAGTATTATTTCAGTCGCATCACCTAAGAAGAGTAATCAAAGGTCCTACGTTTATTGTTGTTATTACTTAATTTTCATAACCCTGAATAAACTGTTTTTGTAGTTTCACACTCTTAATACGACTGTTTTAGCGGAAATAAAAATTTTTTCGAATCAACTCAGAAATACTGTTTTTCTTGATGATTGCATTTATAAACCTACAGATTACATAGGTAAACACATTCCCTCTTTTTAGTCATCGGGAAAGCAGTCTAATCTATATGTCCACAAATAACCAAATAATTTAAAATCTGGTTACTAAACGTGAAAAAGTGCTTATTTATAGGTAGATCTCTTCCTCTTACAAGTAGTGGAGAAAGATAATGAAACGTTTTATCACTCAATAATCAAAGTACGAATAACGTCAATTCATATGAAATATTTCTACTTAAACACATATCTAAGAAACTTCTACTGACATCAGATACATCAAAAATGAGTAATTCAAAGCGACCAACCGTTAATGTGCCTTTTATATTTCTCCATGTTTATCATAAAAATGAGCTAATTGTATACTAAAGGTTTGTAATGATAGAATTTTAACAGTTTGATATAAAAGGTAATGAAAAAGCACAATAATATATTGAAAGATTCTTTACCGTGCAGTGTTTCTTTTGTTTGTTGGTAACATGATACTGACAAATAGCAGACGATTGCTAAAATTAAGATTTATTTTGAACTTATTATACTCCTTTTGTAGTGTTATACTGGTAAGTCTCTAGATATATGCTGTTCCTGTCTTAAAAGGTTTAAACCTTTTGTCTTTTCTTTATCATAAAGAACAGTTTCGTAAAATAGTATAATATTTGGGAGTAGATGTTTTAGCCTTCATTCCTTCTCAATGAGAGCACAACAGATTGACAGCCAATCAACAACGTGGATTAGGCCTAATCTATGCGGACCGCCAGTGCTTATGGATCAAAATACTTCTCAAGTTGTTCCTTCACATTTAACAAACTCAGGTCATTCGCAGCAAGTTATGCTACAGCACCAACAACAAAGAGGTTCTAATCCTGTTTTCCAAAGCCCCTTAAACGTTATACAAGCCGGACCAGTCAGATCAGGCTTGCAAAACCCAAGCCTTATTTCACCAAATCCAGCCTCCTTGGGATTTAGACGACTATTAGCGGAGATGCGTAAGTCACCATATATTTGGTTTATTGTAATAACTGCTTAACACATGAATATTATAAACAAGAAACTTCGAGCTTAACGGCCTTTTATGGAGAAACATGAATAGTAAGTGTTGTCACAAATGTTATCTGGAATTTTGGGATAAACTTTAGAATTGCTGTAATCTTACTAAACAAAACCGATTTCAAAGACCTCTAGTTATTTGCCATTTTGCCATAAAGAATCATATTTAAGCAACTGCTGAAACGACTAAACGATTATGAGCAAGAAAAATAATGGGAAACCATTTGAGAGTACTTAATGTACACTGAGAAATTTGAAAAAGAAATATGATGAAGAGAAGGGGAATGAATCCCAACGGTTTGATATTTCAACATAAACGTAATCAAATGCATCAAATACACATGGTTTTTGATAAAGTAGCACCTGTAGATCATTCATGAGGTTCATAATTTGGTGATGTATGCTGATATATGTCAAGTACGTTCAGTGCCAAAGTTGATTCTTACTTACACTTGCTACCTCTCTTGGAGCACCATAGACTGCTTACCACGATTCTACAACCACCTCCGTTCTTTGATCTCCCTTTCGGTTTTTTCGCATGTCCTATCCAACTTCAGAGCCTTTTCCTTATTTCCTCTTCGTCTGAAAGTTTTTTTATTCTACCCAGAAGTAGACTGTTGCTGGTGATATTCGGCCAACAGATTTGGGATATCTTGCGTAAACAATGTTTCATGAATACCTGTACCACTTTGATGATGGTTTTAATAGTTCTCCAAGTTTCGACTCCGTACAATTGGACTGTCTTGACGTTTGCATTGAACATTCTGACTTTGGCGTTGTTTGGTGCTGGGTCTGAGTCCCATTTATTTTCCAGTTATAGGAATGCTGGTCCTCTCTTCATTGTATTTTAAGACCTTCCTTTTCCCGTCGTGCATGTTGAGGACCACTGGTGTAGATACTTCTACTACACTGGCTGTTTTCACCTGCATTTGTTAGTGTGTATGAGATATAAGAATTAAGTCATCTGAGAAGTTCAAACTATAGCCACATCCAAGAAGTCCGTTATATCCAATACTTCCCCTGAGATGCGGTGGTCGTCATAATCCAGTCAACCACCATAATGAAGCAAAAGGGCGAGTAAGCAGCCTTGTGTGACACCGATCTTCACTTGAAATGCATCTGTGAGCTGTTCTCCGTGGACGACTTTGCACTGTAGCTCGTCGTATGAATTCCGTTTGATGTTGATGATGTTTACTGGTGCACCCTAGTGTCGAAGAAAATTCCATGAGGTTAACCTGTCCACATTGTCAAATGATTTATCATAGTCAAGAAAGTTGATGTATAGTGATAAACTATATTTCCCTACTAGTTTCTTCGTTGTATCTCACAGTTGTCTCCTATTTCCTTCTCTTGCTGATTTTTCTCTGTCACTGCTAGGTCTTCCATGTATTCTCGCTTTTCGGTTCTAATGCTCATCTTCACTTTCTTCTTCGCTTGTGTGTTCGGTCTGTGTCTTGGCCTTCTCTCCTATTGTCCGACTGCTACTGATTGCCGATTTCTTGTTTTTATTTTCTTGAATCCTGTTTTGGTAGGGTCTCGATAGAGATCCATTGCTTCTTGAGGCTTACTACCTCCTGACACGTTGAAGTTTTTTGATCCCTTTCCGATTGTTCTCCATGATAATCTCGTCTTCTTTGAGTAGATTTTGAAGGATGGTAAGGTGTTACTGAAAAAAATATTGATTTCGTTGAGTTTGTTAGTATCTCAAAGAAAGACTATATTAAACATTTGTAATGCTATTTTTCCAGTTGTCCAGTGCATCTTAAGCTTCAGTTTCACCCTGGCTACAACCAGGTGGCGACCTGAAGTTATGTCAGCTCCACTCTTTGTTCTCGAGTTTTCCATGGACCTTCTGAATTCTTCAGTGATACAAATGTGAACAGTTTGCTTCTACTTATTGTGGTCCAGTGAAACTCATCTAACTTGTATATGTGTCATTTAGTTGAAATAGTGCCACTTACAACAATGTCGTTGATAGCACATAGCTTTGCCAGTCTCTCACCATTCTCCTCCTCTTTCTCCCAGTTCATGTCGCTCCATGATGTCTTCAGACACAGTGTTATCCATACCGACATTGATGTTCAGGTTCACCATCATCAGAATTGCCAGGTCTTTGCATTGTCAGTTCTCTACGATTGACTGCAGCCTCTCATAAAACTGATCTTTATCATCTTCACTGCTGTCATTGGTGGGAGAGTAGCGTTCGCTGACATTCATTGTAATCCCCTCCTCCTTTGTTTTGAGGAATGCTTTGATGATTCTCATCTTATAAGTGCTTTTCATGCTTGTTTGAAAAAATCAACCCAACTCCCTGTGTGTGCAAGGCGTTTTGTTCTTCATGGTCAGAGTACAACAGTATCTCCTCGAAGCTAATATTTTCTATCGAGACTGGATGGAATGGGTTTCGCACAGAATCATAAACGTTAAAATTAGGTTAGAATAATCCAAGCTGTCTCGTAAATGTATTTTAAGCTCTACTAGATTATCTGGTATATCAACTAACATAAGTTTTCAGTTCTCATTTAGTGATCCACATTAAACTGTCTCATTTTCAAGTTGTTAGTAAACTGAGTACAGTCACAATTTGGTTAAAACTCCTAAAGAAGAAATAATAACTAATCTAAAAAATTTCCAACTTAGCTAAGCTGTCATCATTATTTACAATAAAGTTTTCAAAACACATTCTGTTGGCGGCTTACACTATTAGACAATAGACTACATCTACAAACGTTAACATTTGTTGGGTTTCAATGTGAAATCGTGAACGATTATAGTCAGATTAGTGCTCATGAAGTTACGTGTTGTTAAGATGAAATATTTATTGTAAAATAACAAACGACAAATGACATAAGACTACTGTTGATTTAGGCCAAAATTACATATCATTTTTGTTATCTCATAAACAAGCCAGCATCATCAATCAACGAGGGGAAATTCACCTAATTACCACTTGAGAGGATTTTTATCCAAAGTCAAGTTCAACATCAGTGTGAAGAAATTGATTCCCAATTATTAGGACTGCCTCCTCCAAGTGTCCTTTCAAACTTGGGGCTTGCTTCTCTGATCTTGCTAGCCAACTTATTATTTCCAAGTAAAGTAGTATGTCCTTTTACATTTGATATTTTCAAATGATTTGCACTGACTTCCTTTGTGAAACGTCGTTCAGTAAGTAATGAGTAAAATTCAGCAGTCTGAGAGTTATTTTCACTAAAGTTCAGACTACCAGTAAATGTATTGAATGCAAGTCTTTCTGTACATGACCTACTCAGTGGTATGTGTCCTTGATATATAGATCCTGATTACGACCAAATGGTTATTACATATGCGAACACTATCCACTAAAGATCATGACTAATAGGTTTGAAATAAATGTCCTCACTGTTCAATGACAAATTTCAAAGTTTGTAATGTGATAGTATTACAATAAACAGTATCCAATATATTGTATGCGGAGAATCAGTTGAAATGAAGTACTAAATTCCAGTCGACACTAAGTCTGATTCAAATATTTTGCTTAATCAGTAGACAAAACTTTACACAGAATCTAGCCACTATTTTAGAAAAGTTTCGTAAACTTTGTGTAATTTTTAGTTTCTACTTATCTGATGCATCTTTCAACTATCCAGATTGATTTGTGATGTTATCCATCTAACGTTTTTAATTACATATGCTATTGAGCATGATTTTGCACGTGGCACAGGGAATATGTTGTAAATACTTCATATAGTAGACAGTATTCCCTCTCTATGTGTTTAAATGTATCACTATAAGTGCTTGTTACAACTGAATAAGATATAATCAATAGATTTTGGTATTTCTATATTCTCCTTCCCGAAGGTCATGTCTGTTTCACTATGAGAACCACTATATGGTGTGTTGATTTGAATTTAGACTACACAGATGAAACAGCAAAACAGTCAATCTTACTCTTATAAGTTGTAGTATTCCTGGATGGTTAAGAGTTTGTAGTTGTTTCCATCATATGTATAAAGGACGACATCAAGCGTTCTGTTTTGAAAATGTACTCATCACAGAACCTGAAGGTAGTGTGTTCGAGCCCCCATTGGTTCGTAGGCGTCCTCTTGTTAGTAGTGTAGAAACAGTAAAAACGACTATCTTACGCTTTCTTATGTCTGTCGACATAAGTAATATATAACACCAATTAGAAGTGGAATGCTTGGCAGCAGAAAGTTGAAAAGATCAAATTGAAGGGAGCAGGAATGTAAACAGAGAGTATTTGTAATAGCAATGAAAGAATGATGGAGTTTAAGACAATTGATAGGAGATTTCCAAGTAAAGTATTTAATGTATGGTTTTCACACTGTACCAAATAACTCTGTAATTTTGAGTTAGATAATATTTCGATTTTCCCTACTTCAGATCTCGTTCACTTTAATACCAGTTTGTAATAAAATTTATCTTCCCAACTAAATTTTCCCGATGAAGTTACTTGCGAAACGCACCATTTATCATTAAAAACTTTTTTAGTGCAAATTTGCCAGTTGCTCAAAGCAATTGATTTTAGACTTTGTATATTAAATATGAAAGGTCACTTAGCACCTTAAAAGAGGATCAGCCAGTTTTAGCCAAACTTTAAAATAGTATTGTAACATATAAAACGTAGTCATTTTATGGGACATCTTGTTACATTTGAAGTTTACAGTATTCAATAGGTGTTTGACACAGCTGGCATTCCAACAAATCTCTGGCGAATCAAATCTTTAGTTTACTTACAATTTTAAGTTGATGTGATATATTTTACTAATGCACGCCACTGAATAAAAGTAGTCCAAAATATATGACGTCTTCCTACGGTCACCAGTGATAACATAACGTCCAATCCACTTATATAGACACTGAATCAGCTGGACAAGTAAACTGCTTAATAATTGATACGGTGTAATATACAGAAACTATCAAATTCTTATGCATGATTTTGTTTTTAATTTAATCTCATTTGTGTTAGTGAACCTGAATGTAATCCACATAGATTAATAAAGCTTTAAGTCGTGAGTTTCAATGTAAGCAGATTTTGTAAACATTTACAAAGATCCATTTACCAGTAAACCATAAACACAGTAGCCAATATTCAACAATACAGACCATATGATATTTCAAATATTTGGAATAAATTCTGATTAATGTTTGTTAAATAGTAAGAAGAAGGGCTAAATAAAATAAAACGCGATGAAAAATCTTTTCGAGATATAATATAATGTTCTGGATACACGATGAAGAGTTAAAAGTAATGCATTTTAGTTGAAAAGTTTTTAACTTACAGCTAACTTATATTCAGAGTGGGAAAGGATATAAATTTTGGAATGTTTTGAAACATTGCACTTAGCTGTCGTCATTAATTCATGATAAAATATATCCTGTCTTATCTTAAAGTTTTGTGATAGTCGCTTTGAAATATCTCACAACCGACTGATATCCCAGAAGTTTTACTACTAAAAATGCTTGGCATACTTCTGGTTGTTACTTTGCTTCTCACTGAACATCTGTATCTCAGAAAGATGGATCTTAATGTTTAGCAGTATGAATAGAATGAACAACACTACGTTATTTTGAGTTGAACAAAGTTTGTGCTTCTCAACATACAAAGACCACAAATTAAGTAGCTGCTTACATAATCATTTCGACTAACTTTTTGTGTTCCAAAAAATGTGTCTGTTAACAAATGTGAGTTAATAATATACTCAATAAACTTAATTCAAATACTTTCTGAGAACTATTAGGTCCTTCTTGAAACAAAGAAGAAAAAAATAAAAGTGTAAAGGAAATACGGACTTTTATTAGGCTTCCAGCTTTTCAGTCTCCTTAATTGGGTTCATTGAAAACACTGGTAATATTTCAGAAAAATTGAATTTGTTTCGTTGATCAATGCAAATTCTATCCTACTGCTGGAATCTATGCCTCACTTACCTTTTTTTTTTCAAATCTTGTTTCAGTTTATCATTAGTGACTCATTTTTTAATCCAGTTATTAATTAACCCATCTCTTTTCATGCTGTTTGAAATTTTTATGCTCAGGAAAACAAGACAGCTTTACGAAAGTATAAAAAAGTGTATAGAAACGTCATCTTTTGCATTTCTTTTGTCGATACGTATTATTTAGTGCCAGATTCTTCAACAGTTTTATTCATATCTACTGAAATTAAAAGTTTCTTACTTGGTCATTTTATCCCTGTTGTTAACGTTGTTTTAAAGGAAATGTGTGTAAAAAAGTTTTGTTGTTTGGTCAAGGATTGAGGGAATAACGTTCACACATTGATTACTAACTCTATACTAACTCAGAATGAAGTTGTCTATGCTTTACTTCATTACAGTCAGGTCAAAAGCTCGGATGCATAAATTGTTGTCAACACGCTTTTGTCATAAGCTGTCTTTAATATAATACGGTTTCTAGATAGAATGTAATTTACAAAAACTAAACAAGTACTTGTATTAATCGCTTAGATTTCATCTAAGAGTTAATTTATCCGGTGAATTTAAGTTGTCTGTCTGTTTATCCAAAATATTTGTTTACTAAATGCTTGACTAATCCTTTCCCAATGTACTGTTTTCATTTTGACTTTTAGGTACCAAGCAGTTTGATTCCATCCGCTTTGCAGCTTATCGTACTGCGAGCAAGCTTAGATTTATTCAGCAGAGAACATTATGTAAGTTGAATATCAAGTGTCAGACTTATTTACTTAACTAAAATACCAATCTTTTCTATCCAATTGTGGTTAGAACTAGAAAGTTAGTGACATTTCTAAAATATAACGGAAGGAATATAAACTTCGACTGAATTTTTAAATGTCACTGAATGGTGTTAAAGGAATCTGTGACAATTGCTAATTTTGCTGTTTTTGTCGTGCTATTATAAAAAGACAATGATTTTCTGAGTTTAATTATAGTCAGTCGAGATGTATGTATTAATCATGTGTTTCGTTACTATGATGATGAAAAGGCTTCCAGTATTACTTTTCTACCTGTCTTTTATCTCAATACCACCAAATGTTTAGGCTGACCTGGTATTTCCAATCAAAGAAGAAAAGAATTAAGGATTTAATTATGTAAAAAACCTCAAAAGAACACTGTATTTCACAGTTAGATGGAAAAAAATTATTTGAAATTTCCTGGGAAAATGTGGGTTAGTTTGGAAAATGAATATGAAGAAACCTGAATATTCACGATCGCAAAAATTAATGAAACACAACCATGACCGAATGCACACTCTATAAAGCGGGTTTTAAATGGTTTATGAAAGTAGTTGGTAAACATGTTGTTGACTTTAATAATATTTGCGTTATTTCAAAGTGATTTCTTGACGTAACAGTTACTTATACAAAATGAATATACACATAATAATGATTTCCGCCAACCGTAAATGATAGCAGTAGCAACAGTTTGTTAATGACTTGAAATTTCGATGTTGACACTGTTTAAATTCTAGTGAAGCCAGAAAATAAAATTATGAGTTACACATTTATGAAAAATTCATTGAAACGGAAATTCAGCAGCGTTTATTTCATCAATTAGGATTTTCGGGAACAATTTTTGACTGCACAGGAAATAAACTAGAGGCATTACATTATCTCACTGTTGTTGTGAAAGAAATAGACTTGCTGAGAGTGCGCGGTAGTTAATTGAATAATTTCTAGTAAGCTGTGGTTTAAAGATATTCCACTTGTTAGTTATACCTTTTAATCCCCCTACATCTATCCTATAGACAAGTGTTACTGAATTTTTAATTGCCTATGATTACTCACTGTTGTCGAAACTGTAAGATCCTTCAATGAATAACATCCATGTATACAAATGCAATTTATAAGGTTAAATATGTTCCGGATCAAAATCAATTATTACAGGCTATTCAGTTGCATAAAACCCCTGTGATTTATCGTAAAAATGCTAAACATTTATGATTGTCGTGTAATTATGATTCACTTGCCTGTGAATTCTAAATCACCTAAACTTTTCACTAATAACTTAAGATTCTAATTCATTTTTTCGGTTAATTTTTTAAATAATTATTTTATAATTTGTCAATCTACCCAACTAAGATTAAAGTTTCAAGAAACTTGAGTTATCAAAGAGATTAAATTAGGAAGAATTGTAGCCATCACCTTATAATATAAACCTAAACATTACATTCGCCCACTTATACTAAACTTAGTTTGTTGTAAATTAAATCAGGAAATTCCTCGCTTTTACATACTTCGCTGTTCATGTCTCCCTTATGCATAGATTATCTTTTTTTTTCAATTTTCAAACAAACATCCTATTGTAGTTTAGTATTCATATTGGTTCATCACCCTTTACTAGTTAATTAATTCAGAAGACGAATTCGATGATGATTATTCATTTCAAAAACGTTTTCACCATAAATAGTGAATATGGTTTGGAAGATTAACTAAATCTAGTGAGTATATAACACATTTCTCTTGTCACTTGAAACGTTTCATCAGTGCTTATAGCGAGACAAAAACTAGTAAATTCATTTTAAGGTATTGAAATGAAAACCTATTCATTAGCCTTCAGACTTACGTTGCAAACTAATTTTAAAATGAACGTTAATGTCTACACATATCGAATGTTTGCATTGGTGTATTATTTGCTTTTCATGATCAGAACATATGTAATAAAATATTCGTCTGATTTTCAAATAATAACGATTTCATTCCTGAATGTTGTGTTTAAATCTGAAAATTTTTAATCAAACGGAGATTTTTCGCTGTTATTGATGCATCTAAACAAAGCATTAACAAGACAATTTTACAGTAAACAATGATTCTTCGGCATAAGATTGAACTCGATTTGATAAGTTTAAATAATTTAAACAGTTAATAACTGATATGAAAATAAGGTATCCATCAATAAACAAGAAATTGTTTAAGACTTCAGTTAGGATGAAAATACTTGAAAGATTTCTTAATGTTGAGTTATGCGCAGGGATATTGTCAAAGATAAGTTTGTCTTGCAAAGAAATAAATAATTAAAAAAGAGGGAATTCATTTTATACTGAATTTATTATTGTTTTTGAAAAATGAAGAGAAAGAAACTGTGGTGTTTACTAATGTTACTAAGGTAGATAACTATTGATTCTGTTTTCACCCTTTTAACGTCTTTGAAGCTAGTAAATACGAATTTGAATGCTGAATTAACACAAGAATTTTGAATTTGCTTTCTGAAATATAATTTATACAAGGATGCAGCATCTGAGTTTTAACACTTAATTTACTCAACATTTACTTTTAATTAAAAGATCTATTTAAACTGAGAACATAAAATCATTTACTTAAAAGTATTATTTTTCTGACAGATCAAATACTGACAGTTTGTATAGTGACACATTTTGACTAGCCTACTTTTTGAATTCTGAACACAATTTGTGTTTAAAAAATGTTGTCGTGTAACTGTGTTTCTAAGTAAGTGAAAATGATGCTTAAAAATACTTATGCTTCCAAGTATTCAATTAAATGACACTAGTAATATGATGTGACCGCAGCATTTAATGGATATACTTTGTATAATGCAGTTTATTCGTTATTTCCTCCAATTTTAACATAAATTACTTCTGATGTGGATGACTGTGATTCAAATTAGTTACTGTTCAATTTGTTTGCTTTTATTGTGATCTTTCTAATTTACGAATGTTTTGTATTCAGTGTATGTCAATATGTCATGGTGTCTTCAAACAATCGCTCATATGGTACTGATTAATCTAGTCGTTCAATAATAGTGACAGTGATTTTCCATGTTTACATTCTGTAACCATTACTGACCATTCATTTTGAATTTCTTACTTTTGAAACACGTTAACACAAGATCATGGGCCTTTGTATTGACTGATTACCTCACAGATCGAGGCTTTTATCAATTAAGAAACAGACATCAAGTTTACTGAGGATTCTGCATATCTTTTTAAATTGAGCAAACAAAATCCAAAAACTACGTAGAACCAATGATTCATTCTGTTTTGTGCTGGAAGTTAGATTCTAACGGGATCATACTCTTGCTTCCATATCCTTAGTAGAAAAACTTTAGATTATTTTGTTATTTATGTTGTTGACTGCATTTTAACTAGCCCTTGTTGAGCATCCTGCATGAATTACTATTTTGTCATAAGTTATATAGAATATCTAGTCTGTAGTTAGCAAGGAAATCCAGCAGTAAAATGTTGAAATTACACAACTGTGATATTCCGAACCAACTAATTGCGTGAGTCTTTATAGGCTTCATAGTCTTTGAAACTACCGATAAGCAGCATAAATTATTAAAATAAACTGATCGTTCATAGCAAAGTTATCAGAATCACATCAACTACTTCTCAATACCGAAGAACAATACTGGGTTGCAGGTACATCCATCTGACGAGTACTAAGTAGGACGAAACTCAGATCTTGAATTACACTGCTATCCACAACCCATCAATTCTTATTTCCATTTTTCCAGAATGATGAAACCTTCTACCAGCTGAATATAAAATAAATGTATCACTTTTGAAACACTAAATTAAAGCCCGTTGAGTAGAAGCTATAAACAAGTGTCATAATTCCACAGTGCTCATCAGATGGAAGCATCTTTATTCCATGGAATATTGATGTTTTCCTAATATTTTAGGATCTTATCAACCATATGGTCAGTCTTAGACCTTACAAATTTGTTGTTTTAGGCTAAAATTGACACACTTAATATCGTTTGTAGTATTTTTCCAGTTTTTAAGCCTTCTTAAATTTTGTCAATTTATTTATTTTCAATATTATTACCTAACACCTAATTCAGAGTCAATGTCATTTTACCCATTGGCTAGAATCTATTCTTGATTTATAGGATATCATATGTACTGAGAAATGAAGTAGCAAACAGTTTTATTTTCCTAATAATTGAGGTTCCATTAAATAAAATTTATTTATATCATTTGTATATTTAATCATTTTGTTAATCGGGTATACGAATTGATTTCAAGTTCGATGTAGCTAAAAATTTCCAGGAGTTATAAGAAGTTGACATAATTATCGATTTCAAAATAACTAACTTTTGAATCTTTAACCCCTAACTTACCTTTATAGGAAAAATTTCTTTTCATCACAATATTTCTTTCTATTTAGGAGGGCAAATCAAATAGTTTTTCTCTTTTGGCAAGCAATAGATAAAAACCTGAGTACTAAGTGGAAGAATAGAAATGTAGGCTTTTTGATAGAACACACACACACGCCTATATAAGAGGCGGTGGCTGATGCAAAGACGAATTCTCACTTGCTATATTTTTATTGTTAGTATGGCTTATGTCTATGGCTTAAGTGTCAGTCCAACCCTCTTTGTTTGTCGTTCTGATTGGAATTCCCCATGCTCATAGCCAGTGTAATGCATGTAGATAAGATTGTTTGTCTTATATTTGCTTGTCTCAATCAATATTATCAATAATCCTCGGTCTGTCCAATAAATTTTATGCTCAAACGTGTGTTTTTAGTATGTTATAAAATCATATTCGTGTTACAAATTATCCAAAGCTGGATGATACAAGAAAATCAGACGTCTGTTACCAAAAATTATGATTGTAAGCAAAGTATTGAATATATTAAATTGAGAACACTGATTTCAACTTTGAACTGACTTCCCTAAAGAACTAAACGTAAGGACTAGAATTAAGGGAACTATATCTCTACGAATC